TATCATTCATTTTTTTTACCTTCCCAGAGGACTGGGGCCTCCACGAGCAGCATGGATGATATTTTATGCCTAGGGCTTTAGATATTCCCTGTGTGACAGCTGCTTTGAAGGCCAGCCCATTATCACTTTGCAAACTATCTCATGTACTAAAGCCTTTACAACTTTGTGGGCCTTTTCTGTCCTACAAGGGAATGCTTCAACCCAGTTAGTAAAAGTATCCACAAATACCAGTAAATATTGTCTACCATGTACTTTAGGGAGGTGAGTGAAATCCATTTGCCAATCTTCACCTGGATATTTGCCTTGTTTCTGTATACCTGGGGAAGCTAGATGGTGAGTTAAAGAGTTGTTTTTCTGACATACCTCACAAGTCCTTGTTATTTATTTTATGGTTTTAAATAAGTTTTTTCCATTAAAGAGAGCTTTAGCCATTTGATAGGTACTCAGCGCCAAAATGAAAAGACTGATATAAAGTTCTAAGTATTTTCCATTGGCTTGCGGCAGGTAATAGCAAAAGTTCACTTCTATTTTGTAGCCAGCCTGATGGAAGTAGTGAATAGTCTGTGGATAAAGCCCATTTCTTCTCCTTCTGGGTATACTGAGGTGCATGATTCTTAAGTGATTCCTCCCAAATAAAGGGTGCCACAAGGGGAGTTACTCCCTTCTGCTATTTTAGCTTCTTTCTGGGGTTAAGAGGGCTACAGCTGCTACAACCTGTAGACCAGGTGTCTTCAAAGTACGGCCTATGGGCCACATACAGCCCACCTGGGACATTTATCAGGCCTGCCAGGTGTTTTTGCCACTGCTGCCTGTCATGCTTAGCAGCCGACTCGTCCCAGAGCCTGTAGTCCGGCCCTCCAACGGTCTGAGGGACAGTGAACTGGCCCCCTGTTTAAAAAGTTTGAGGACCCCTGCCATAGGCAGTGTGGACATCCCTTGGCCACGGTGTCAATTTCTTTACTAAGATATGCTATAGGGCTCAGCACCTGTGGCTTAAGTGGCTAAGGCGCCAGCCACATACACCTAAGGTGGTGGGTTTGAATCCAGCCTGGACCTGCCAAAACAACAATGACGGCTGCAACCAAAAAATAGCCAGGCATTCTGGTTGGTGCCTGTGGTCCCAGCTACTTGGGAGGCAGAGGTAGGAGACTCACTTGAGCCCAGGAGTTGGAGGTTGCTGTGAGTTGTGATGCCACAGCACTCTACCCAGGGGGACAGCTTGAGGCTCTGTCTAAAAAAAACCCCAAAAACTCCTAGGGCAATTCCAGTTCGTTCTGTA